GGCAAAAAAAAAAAAAAAAAAAACTGAACTCATGTACCCAGCTTTACACGACTGGACATGAAAACACATGTTCACATCTTTGACAGTTCGCAAGTTGAATGTTCATATGTAGAGGACTTATTGGATAGGTCCTACAAGATTAATCAAACTCTTTATGCATGCAACATTTTGTTAAGAAAAGGTTTTAATCCCAGAAATGCTACTGCTGGACCCCAATGGGGCTCAAATGGCTCATATATTACATACGTATGACTTGAAATTTTGGATAACTTATTCAATAAAATGTGCATATTTGTCATATCTATTTTATAATCAGAGGAATAAAATCATTTTTACGCAATAGGTAATAGTGGTGATCATCCTGGAAATTTTAGCCTGTGCAAAAAGTAATGAATGTAGTTTAATTTGCCCCCTAAATGGACCGATTGTCCATTACATAACTGGGTCACTTAAGTTATGCAGGATTTGTACGAATTTACTCCTTTGCTCTTCTTGCTGCACATTGATATATTAACAATACCTACAGGTAGGCGTGGCACAGAGATCATGTCTCATATAGGCAGTCCGCATGAGTATTCAATATGTGTCCAGTGTCTAACAGTTGATCACAGCGCTGAAGATTTCACATAACCAGTGCCACACTGGTGGTTTACTAAGTTACCGTTTGCATCTTTGCTTCCATACCCATATTAAACATACTCTGGCATTAAACTCAAATGTTTCCACCAAGCAAACATTCTTGTTTCTTGGGAGGACCTCCCTGCTACAGTGATGTCTCCACTCACCCTTCACAAAACTCACCCCAGGGTCTGTTTTGTGAATGGCCTGAAGGAGAAGGGGGCAGATACACAACAGTAGTCCTCCATGAGACCTGCAGTGCTTACAACTGGAGTGGCCAAGAAGTACAGTTCCCACTGTACTTCCTGAAATTAAAGTGATTTGCAAGACATAGAAGTATACTAACATGACAGTGAACACTTCCAGGTAACAAATACATTTGCCTGTAGGAAACCAGTGAGGGTAATTGTGCCCAGAGTTTGGCTTTAAATAAATATTAGGATGGTAGACTGTCACCTTCAGACAACAGCAGCCACCTCAAGGTGGTTTCCTCTCCATGCAGTGCATCCTAAAAAGCCATGATAATGGAATCTAACAGAACTCCAATATGCAAAGAGTGGACAGATTTTGTGGCCACCAGCTTTTGCCTGCCCCTTTCTACAGCTTGGCAAGGCCACTCATTGCCATGATAGGATAATAGAGAGGTGGGCCAGAACGATTGACCACAGAACTGGTTGGTCTTTGCACAACACATCACCCTAGTGTCTGAGGCCCCCTAAGCATTATACAAGGAGAGGAAGCCAATGTGCAGGTCCCCAGGTGTACCTGCTATTGACTGTAAGTGGCAGTTTCATGTCTTAATAGTAGACAGTTTTACCTTAAGCAAAGATTTAACACCACTTTAAAAGCACATATACCTCCAACTTTGAAACAATAAGGTACATTTTCAGTAAACAGAGCAATAGTGCCTGAGGTTATTTAAACCATATAAATATAAAAATATCAAACATGACCCATTATGCTCTGTTCTACCCCATTCATAGGTTACCCAAATTATCAGCTCGGTACCTATCTAATACACTTGTTTTACCAGAAAAAGATCTTTAAAAATCAGACCACTGTCTGAGCTTTGGCAGTCATACATAACCCCTGACAAACACTTTGGTGTACATATTTATAACTTAAGAACGCATAGAAAATCTTGGTTCTATTTAAAGGCAGCTGGAAATCTATCATATCATCAAAAATGGGTTTCTTGCTTTTATCCCTACTTCATTCTGTTTTGGCCCTCATCTTTCAGTCTTAGTGCTTTCATGATCACTTCTAGGTCTGAGCCCTTCTTCAGAGGGCCAGGAGTGCTATAGACATTGGGCTTCTCAAGGCCTGTCAGTAGGCATTACTGTTGTACAGCTATAGTCCAAGAGCTCTTCTTCCATCCTAGTGCACTACGGGAGCTGCATCTCAGGTAGGTCAGACAGGTTTCCAGACTGACTTTGCTGCTGAGGATGCAGAAAATAACCCATGGTGTTCTGCTGAGGAATGTGAGGTTGTTGGTAAATCCGTTGAGACTGGCCTGTTTGCAATGAATCAGAAGTCTGCATCTGAGACACAAAAAGAACATTTATAAAATCACTCAATATTTATGTTGGTTTAAAAAGATTACATATACAATAAGACAATCAAACCAGATACCGTCTTGTAGTTAAAGGCTGAGATGTGATTGGTTGAGATTGGCAATTATATTTTTTGCTCCAGTTTTCATAAAGGGCAGCTTTTTTTTTTAAATGGCCATGAGCAATATGAATATGGTATGCCTGCAGTAGGCCTTTATCTGGAGGAAACATTTTTAAAAATTAAATTTCCATTAATCCTATGTAAAAAGATAAAAGAAAAAAAAATACAAAAACAATTAAAAAGGAAAACTGCTTGTGTTGCCTACAGCAGCAAAAGTCTCTCTGTACTACCTTCTTGCAGGGTTATTCACTTCACAATGACTGCACTCTAGTCTGAGTTTGCCTACTCTTGTCAGAGGTTCATAAGTGTGCCTCCAACTGTTTTATTACTGTGGCTGGGGTGGGAAGAGGTTAATTTTCAATTTAGTTAGAAAAATAATTATACTTCGTCATTTTATTACTATAGGAAGCTGTAGAAAGTCTGACTGTGAATACTGGTTATTAGAGATTACAGCAAAAACATTGCTAAGTCTAATAAATGCTCTTCAGCGTAATTCAATGAGAATTACATAGTAACTAGAGATGAGCGAATCGAAGTATCCGAAGTGGAATTCGAGTCGAATATCGGAAAAATTTCGATTCGTGCCGAATCCGAAAAATAGCCTAATTCGGACGCGCGAATCGAAATTTTTCAGAAAATGGCGGCTGACATGTGCGGCGACGGGGCGGGGATGTCTGGGAAGGCGCGCAGACAAGGCGCGCTGACCCATAATGCATTCCTCAACTACATGTGATCGCATCAGCCAATCAGCAGCCAGCCAGCACTGTGTAATGGTCGAGCTATAAATAGCGGCCATTTTGGAATTCTTCATTTGCCTGCAGTCATTGAACAGAGGCAGACCGCTCTGTACTAGGGACAGGGACAGAGTTAGGGCCACAGAAACGATAATTGGGGACAGAGAAAAGTTACTTAGGGACAGAGAACCATTACTCAGGGACACAGACTTGTTAATGAGGGCCACAGAATCGTTATTTAGGGACAAAGAAACGCTAGTTAGGGCCACAGAATTCATACTCAGGGACAGACAGAATTGTTACTCAGTGCCAGAGAATTGTTACTTTTTACTCAGGGACAGACAGAATTGTTACTGAGTGCCAGAGAATTGTTACTCAGGGACAGACAGAATTGTTACTGAGTGCCAGAGAATTGTTACTCAGGGCCCCAGAAACTTTACTTAGGGCCACAGAATTTTTACTCAGGGACAGACAGAATTGTTACTGAGTGCCAGAGAATTGTTACTCAGGGACAGACAGAATTGTTACTGAGTGCCAGAGAATTGTTACTTAGGGCCACAGAAACTTTACTTAGGGCCACAGAATTTTTACTCAGGGACAGACAGAATTGTTACTCGCACAGACACAGAACTGTTTACTGAGGGCCACAGAAACTTTACTTAGGGCCACAGAATTGTTACTCGCACAGACACAGAATTGTTACTCGCACAGACACAGAACTGTTACTGAGGGCCACAGAACTGTTACTTAGGGCCACAGAATTGTTACTCGCACAGACACAGAATTGTTACTCAGGGCCACAGAACTGTTACTTAGGGACAAAGAAACGCTAGTTAGGGCCACAGAATTCATACTCAGGGACAGACAGAATTGTTACTGAGTGCCAGAGAATTGTTACTCAGGGACAGACAGAATTGTTACTGAGTGCCAGAGAATTGTTACTCAGGGACAGACAGAATTGTTACGGAGTGCCAGAGAATTGTTACTCAGGGACAGACAGAATTTTTACTGAGTGCCAGAGAATTGTTACTCAGGGACAGACAGAATTGTTACGGAGTGCCAGAGAATTGTTACTCAGGGCCACAGAAACTTTACTTAGGGCCACAGAATTTTTACTCAGGGACAGACAGAATTGTTACTGAGTGCCAGAGAATTGTTACTCAGGGACACATAATCGTTGAATTAAAGAGTATGTCAGACAACATGCAGAGGAGTGGCAGAGGAGGCAATTTTTTAGGAGCGAGCAGACGTGGCAGCAGAGGAAGGGGTCGAGGCAGCACTATTCGCAGCCAGAGGCCAGTGCTCCCGGTGTCATCCAGCGGTCGTGTCTCCACCGACAACCCTGCCGTCATTGATTGGTTGGCTCGGTCGTCTTCCTCTTCCCAGGTCACCTCTGACACCTACAGCCAACGGTCGGTGGGTACGTCAGACACAACCGTTAGTTGGCATGGCCCGGGAGCAAGCCCACTGAAATCACATGTCCTCTACCTGCCCCTGTCCTTTGCTGTTCCCTCACCAAGCGAAGTATCGCATGCTGTGGGCTCAGCCCCACTGTACAGTGAGGAAGAGCTAACAGAGGGCGGTCAGGAACGGGGGGAGACATCGGCCTTTTCAGCAGCCAGGCGAAGAAGTACTGGCGAGGAGAGTGACATAGGGTGCTGGCAGATTACGGACCTCCCATAGCTGCTGCCAGGCCCCTAATCTGCCATGGGCCCCTATATACCGCCTCCTCATGCTGCTGCCAAGTCCAGAGTCTCTCATGGGTCCCTATACGGCCTCCCATTGCTGCTGTCTCCATCGCCACACTCTGCCATGTGCCACTTTCAGGTCTCCTCACACACTGCTGGTGTGTAGAATTTTTTGACATAGGGTGCTGCCAGATTACGGGCCCCCTATAGCTGCTGCCAGGCCCCTAATCTGCCATGGGCCCCTATATACCGCCTCCTCATGCTGCTGCCAGTTCCAGAGTCTCTCATGGGTCCCTGTACGGCCTCCCATTGCTGCTGTCTCCATCGCCACACTCTGCCATGTGCCACTTTCAGGTCTCCTCACACACTGCTGGTGTGTTGAATTTTTTGACATAGCGTGCTGGCAGATTACGGACCTCCCATAGCTGCTGCCAGGCCCCTAATCTGCCATGGGCCCCTATATACCGCCTCCTCATGCTGCTGCCAAGTCCAGAGTCTCTCATGGGTCCCTATACGGCCTCCCATTGCTGCTGTCTCCATCGCCACACTCTGCCATGTGCCACATTCAGGTCTCTTCACACTGCTTGTGTTTTCAATTTTTTGACATAGGGTGCTGGCAGATTACGGGCCTCCCATAGCTGCTGCCAGGCCCCTAATCTGCCATGGGCCCCTATATAACACAGTAAATCGAAAAAGAATTCTCCTGCGCTCTGGGACTCAGACAGGTGGCAGACAGATGGAACCAGGCCTGAAGGAATCGTCCACCAATGCATAAAAGGCTGTGCGGCTCCAAACCAAGGCTGGGGAAGCCCAATCAGCACTGCAGAATGAAATAAAAAACAAGAAGCGCACCAGCCTTGCGCATTACCTCAGTAACCAAAATTTATTACTTGTAAAAAAATATACTCACAAACAGCGAATAAAATCAAGCATATAAGTCCTCACAGGGACTTGAAGATAACATGAGTCCCATCAAGGGAATGGGTGTTCAGTACAGCTGACGCGTTTCGAAGGGGATCCCTTCTTCCTCAGAGCTAACTGAACTGTGAGTGCTCTCTCCTATAAATACACTTCTGGACTAGACCTAGGCCCTCCCTAATGGGTTGGGCAGTCTCAGGTTGATAGGAGGGGCCAAGATATTGTCAACAGACCATCGATATTTGCAATGCCATTAGAGAGAAATAACATATAAAATATAAAATGTAAAATGCATAAAAAACCACATTTTTTGCATACACCACTTAGTGTGCATATAATCCGTCAATTTAGCGATGACACCATAGGAGATGATGATCATGGCTAATACATGATGAAGCATGATATATTATAAATAATTCTCGTGTTCCATGTTTCATTAGTGAGCAATGTGTCCCATGGACACTTCATCCAGAGGACTTGTTATGAAGCTGGATGGATATATAGCAATAAATGTGACAATAAACATAGATTATTAATAATGATTGTTAATCAACAAATGTCTTGATGGTTGAGTGTCCATAGTGACACAACCACATGTATATATATGTATAAACATATAGACATATACACCCACAATCAGACCTTCAACCCGAAGCTGTGTGTTTGTGCTACCAGGCAACTGCATGCGTTTCATGATCCGATGATGAAGAAGATTAAATCAGTGCTCTTAAATCCATAATGCTGTATAGTCAGCCGCAGAGGGAGATCTTAGACTTCCCTCCTTGGCTGCAGGTTTACCCAGTGTATGGAACGCACGCTAGTGTACCATGCTCGTCACTGCGCATGCGTGAACCAACATGCGCATGCGCGCAGTATAAGGAGGAAGGTCCGTCTGCGCGATCACGTGAGCCCGCATCACGCGCATCTGACGGCCACTCTGTACGCGTGCGCCAAACCCGCTCTACTGGGTCAGATACCAGGACTGCTACCCCGCCCCCATCCTCTGACGAGGCTCTCTTTAGGGGCCTGGCAGCAGCTATGGGAGGCCCGTGAATGCATTCGTATTACAGATTTTCCTAAAATCCGCAAGTACTGTCTCCTAAAAGGTAGGTACAAAATGACCTTTGACCCAATGCGGATAGAACATGGATTTGGGTTTAAACCCCGTATGTATAATTTCTCCCTGAGAGACAGTCGCCATCTCTGTGAGAGTGTATGTATTTTATAGATTTTATCTTATACCATATTATTATATTTCTATTATTATTTTAATTTTTTACTGTATTCATCATCATGCATCACATGTGCTGTATACATGAAGCATGGAAGGCGTCCATGTGAACGTATGCCTATATGTTTTACATTCTACACCCACCGGCAACATTACTGTCATATGTACTGAAGGTGTTACACGCGTGCGCATGATGTGTATACACATGTATATATATGTTTATGATAATGTCCTTCACTTCAATATACTCCTGGAGTGGGGCAGCCAGGGCCGTCTGACCACCCCATTTGATCTGTTATAAGGTGCATATAACAGTAAGCCCGTCAGAGGGGAATCTCCAGACAGGTTTTTTTCCCCTAAAGAGAGCCTCGTCAGAGGATGGGGGCGGGGTAGCAGTCCTGGTATCTGACCCAGTAGAGCGGGATTCTAGCACCAAAGAATTGCCTAAAGAAAAGAGAAAGGTGGACACTGAATAAATACTGGAGTTGCCACCATACTGGAACTACTCACATGGGGCCTAATAATAATATAATGTATGTAAAACTGAAGTCATTGGTTTCAGGCTCATCTATATTGGCAACCCGATCTGGCGTGGTGTTTTATGACATATACACCCCAATGTGGGGATTTAACTAGGTACATATCCTGTAGTTGACTCTGCATAAATAGACACAATCCTACACATCAGTGCCTATAATAGGGCATTAATGTGCCTTTTGTTGGTAAATCGCTAAGAGTATAGCTACTCAGGAAGATGGAAAGAGGTCCTGCTCACCAAATGGAAACCTAGGTTGTCAATCAATTCTTCAGCAGTGTTAAAACATCAAAGCATGCATACACTACCGGCTCGTCCTAACAAACAAAGTAGCCAGAAGTTACCATTTGTGGATCCCCATAATCATGGGGTACATATCACACCACCAGGACACTTTGTAGGAAAATTCCTCCAATGTTAGGAATACCAGCCAGCTATATGTCTGTAGGGTGTCCTCACAACTGGTGCCTCAAAAGTGCCTAAATACCCCAGGAGCTATCATAGTCCTTTACCAACATCATAGAACTTTTAGGAATGCAAAAACTGGTATTCAAGCATTAGCTGCTGCAGTCTGTATGATGAGTGTAAAAGATGGAACCACTGAGGAAAATTTGCTAAAACTGGAGCACTAGAATCTGTTGTAGCTGTGCATGGCAGCCAGTTAGCTTCTAACTTCAACTTCTTTAATTAAGCTTTCACAAAAGCAAGGAGTGCAGCTCTATATAAAATTAAACCTTAATTGCAGAAAATTGAGAATGAGAATAAAATTAAATATAAATATAAAAATAAGTCCACTGTAATATCAAAATAAGGATTCCTCAAGTGGCCGCTTATCAGCTGTATACACAGGCCTCCACACCTCAGCCCCAGTGTTTTTAGGCATTGCTGTGGACCTGAAGAAGTAAGTGCTTTGAGACCAGATCGGTATCCTTTCCTTACACCAATGAGGGACCACCAGAGGATTCCGTTTCCGGGCTGTCTTTATCCGAGATCCTAGGATGCATGTGATCCAGATATGCGTTTTTGTACTGGGTTTCTGGTGAGTAGGCAATCTATTCATATTACCACAACGGGAGACCGGATTGCATCTACAACATTAGAAATTTCACTGTGGACTGAGGAATCCTTATTTTTATATTACAGTGGACTTATTTTTATATTTATATTTAATTTTATTCTCATTCTCAATTTTCTGCAATTAAGGTTTAATTTTATATAGCGCTGCACTCCTTGCTTTTGTGATTTTATTAGAAAGGTTTTTGTGGTTCCTTTTAGTGCATTGGTCGCTTTTGGGATTGCGCTCACAAATTTACATTTTCTGATCTTTAATTAAGCTTTGACAATAAAACTTGGAAGCCGATTGATTCTATGAAGAGCTGCACCAAATTTTGCACCCTCCAGTTTTAGTAAATCTCCCTCTATATATACATTTTAACATTAGGTGATGTTATTTATTAAGGACCACTGCCAAAATTCGATCATAATGTGAAAAAATTGATCTGTCAGTGATCTTCTAGACCGTTGTATATAAAAGGGATTCAAACTGCCATGGGAAGTTGGCTTCTGGCATCTGTAATCCACTTTAAACACTCTTCTTCAATAACCGATATCAGCCAAGCAGAATCCTCTTTCATTGTCCTGTCATAGTCTGAAAACTCATTGGTTTCTTTGGATTGCCTTTATTCCTCTTTGCATTGCCTTGAATTAACCTAATTCTATTTGGTTCTGCAGTATGAGCCACAAGGATGCCTGTTAATAGAATTTCACATTAACATTACATTTGTAAACTTTATCTGCAGTCACTATATTGTGCATTTTAAAATGTGCTTCTAAACTGATAGTATGTGAAAGAGACATAATCCTCCCGTAGATTAAATTACTGGCTAGTTGAAGGGTTTAGTCTTTGGTTTGGGATTAGCATAGGGATTAAATCTTCTGTGAATTACCTGCATAAACTAGATACATAGCTGTGATTTGTCTTTGTAATTTGTCTAATTTTTTTTTTCTTTTGTCCATTTTAACTGGTCCTTGTGGGGGACATCACATGCATAGGCAAAAAAAAATGTATTTTGGTCATAGTTTACCATACATATTTCCTTCCAAACTGCCTTTTTATGTATGACATACAGTCAGTGCCAGGACAAGGCCATCTGGCGCCGAGGGCAAAGATGCCAAATGCCGCCCGCATCCCCCCCAAGATGTATGAACATTATGTAAAGTGACTAATTAATACAAAAAAGTGTAGCGCTAAATAAATATACAATATATATAAAAATAATAAACAGTGTAGTGACACACACAATCCCCTTAAAAACACAAAGAAGGGGATAGCACACAAAATTGTGCAACACGTGACTTCCCACTAAGGGAATATAGCAAGTGATGAATACTCCAATAGTGATTCACAAAAAAATGTTTTTTGATCTGTTATAAGGTGCATATAACAGTAAGCCCGTCAGAGGGGAATCTCCAGACAGGTTTTTTTCCCCTAAAGAGAGCCTCGTCAGAGGATGGGGGCGGGGTAGCAGTCCTGGTATCTGACCCAGTAGAGCGGGTTTGGCGCACGCGTACAGAGTGGCCGTCAGATGCGCGTGATGCGGGCTCACGTGATCGCGCAGACGGACCTTCCTCCTTATACTGCGCATGCGCATGTTGGTTCACGCATGCGCAGTGACGAGCATGGTACACTAGCGTGCGTTCCATACACTGGGTAAACCTGCAGCCAAGGAGGGAAGTCTAAGATCTCCCTCTGCGGCTGACTATACAGCATTATGGATTTAAGAGCACTGATTTAATCTTCTTCATCATCGGATCATGAAACGCATGCAGTTGCCTGGTAGCACAAACACACAGCTTCGGGTTGAAGGTCTGATTGTGGGTGTATATGTCTATATGTTTATATACATATATATACATGTGGTTGTGTCACTATGGACACTCAACCATCAAGACATTTGTTGATTAACAATCATTATTAATAATCTATGTTTATTGTCACATTTATTGCTATATATCCATCCAGCTTCATAACAAGTCCTCTGGATGAAGTGTCCATGGGACACATTGCTCACTAATGAAACATGGAACACGAGAATTATTTATAATATATCATGCTTCATCATGTATTAGCCATGATCATCATCTCCTATGGTGTCATCGCTAAATTGACGGATTATATGCACACTAAGTGGTGTATGCAAAAAAATGTGGTTTTTTATGCATTTTACATTTTATATTTTATATGTTATTTCTCTCTAATGGCATTGCAAATATCGATGGTCTGTTGACAATATCTTGGCCCCTCCTATCAACCTGAGACTGCCCAACCCATTAGGGAGGGCCTAGGTCTAGTCCAGAAGTGTATTTATAGGAGAGAGCACTCACAGTTCAGTTAGCTCTGAGGAAGAAGGGATCCCCTTCGAAACACGTCAGCTGTACTGAACACCCATTCCCTTGATGGGACTCATGTTATCTTCAAGTCCCTGTGAGGACTTATATGCTTGATTTTATTCGCTGTTTGTGAGTATATTTTTTTTACAAGTAATAAATTTTGGTTACTGAGGTAATGCGCAAGGCTGGTGCGCTTCTTGTTTTTTATTTCATTCTGCATGGGCCCCTATATACCGCCTCCTCATGCTGCTGCCAGTTCCAGAGTCTCTCATGGGTCCCTGTACGGCCTCCCATTGCTGCTGTCTCCATCGCCACACTCTGCCATGTGCCACATTCAGGTCTCTTCACACTGCTTGTGTTTTCAATTTTTTGACATAGGGTGCTGGCAGATTACGGGCCTCCCATAGCTGCTGCCAGGCCCCTAATCTGCCATGGGCCCCTATATACCGCCTCCTCATGCTGCTGCCAAGTCCAGAGTCTCTCATGGGTCCCTCTACGGCCTCCCATTGCTGCTGTCTCCATCGCCACACTCTGCCATGTGCCACTTTCAGGTCTCCTCACACACTGCTGTTGTGTTGAATTTTTTGACATAGGGTGCTGGCAGATTACGGGCCTCCCATAGCTGCTGCCAGGCCCCTAATCTGCCATGGGCCCCTATATACCGCCTCCTCATGCTGCTGCCAAGTCCAGAGTCTCTCATGGGTCCCTGTACGGCCTCCCATTGCTGCTGTCTCCATCGCCACACTCTGCCATGTGCCACATTCAGGTCTCTTCACACTGCTTGTGTTTTCAATTTTTTGACATAGGGTGCTGGCAGATTACGGGCTTCCCATAGCTGCTGCCAGGCCCCTAATCTGCCATGGGCCCCTATATACCGCCTCCTCATGCTGCTGCCAAGTCCAGAGTCTCTCATGGGTCCCTGTACGGCCTCCCATTGCTGCTGCCAGGAGGCAGCAGGGTCGCAGCAGTGTCAGTGGAGGCAAACGGCCACGGAGTAGAGCACCAGCTCCACTGCAGCCTACCACCACGGCCAGTAGTGGTGCCGGTGTGCACGGAGGAAGTAGCAGTCAGCCAGTGAGGAGTAGAGGAGGCAAAGTTTCCTACTCTGCGGTGTGGCAATTTTTCGTCAAGCCGCCCGAGGAAGTAAACGTAGCCGTATGTCGACTATGTGGCCAGAAAGTCAAGCGTGGCCAGGGGGCCCATGTTGGGACTACAGCGTTGCGTCAGCATATGCAGCGTCGCCATTCGGTGGCCTGGGAAAACCGTGATAAAGATACGGCGGTTCTGCCTGCCCCAGCCCAGGGTTCCATTTTGTCATAGGGTGCTGGCAGATTACAGGCCTCCCATAGGTGCTGCCAGGCCCCAAATCTGCCATGGACCCCCGTACCGCCTGGTCACGCTGCTGCTGGGCCCACAGTGTGACCTGGGTCCCTGTACCGCCTCCCATTGCTCCCACTCTGCCATGTGCCACTTTCAGGTCTCCTCACACTCCTGCTGGTTTCCATTTTGTCATAGGTTGCTGTATGGCCTCCCATTGCTGCTGCCTCCACCGCCACACTGTGGCTCCAAACACTGGTTTTGGCCCCCGTGACTGGCCAAATGAGTGAAGTGTGCGGTGATTCTAAGATCGACGGCACTCATCTGCATGTCATACTGAGTGACAGTATTATTTCTCTTCCCCAGCAGACTCCAAGGGCATTTAAATTAAAGTACAGTGTTCTGCACTAATATTAAGTCTCTCTGAAGCCTAGAAACACCCTTTTTTAAGTTAAATTCACAGCGAATTTATTCGACTCGAATCGAATATTGTCCACGAATTCGCCGAATCAGTCGAATCGAATTTTTCATTTCTTCGCTCATCTCTAATAGTAACTATCTGCAAAATGCACTGAAAAATAGTAGTGGTTTACTAAAATGAAAACTCTGGACTGAAACTGAAGATTCAGCACGCATTTGGCTGAAAAACCAAAATGGACTGTTTTTTTTAAAAAAAAATATTTTTATATATAAATGTATTATATTCGACTTTTTAATTAATATCATGAATTGAATATTAACTTAAAAAATACAATCCAGTAACATAAAATAAGTTTTAAAGTAACACACAAAACTGGACAGTAAATTAAATATATAAAATAAAAAAAAAAAAAAAAACTTAGAGGCGTTTTTTGCACTGAAGTCATATGCATTGAAGTCAATGGGATGCATCTTTGCATTGAAATCAAGGGGACGCAAATTTGCATTGAAGTCAAAAGGGGGTGATTTGAATTGAAGTCAATGGGAAGCATCTTTGCATTGAAGTAAAGGGGACACGACTTTACATTGAAGTCAATAAGGGGAAGTTTTTAGCATTAAAGTCAATGGGACGTGATTTTGTATTGAAGTCAATTATCATTATCGGCCCCATTTTTTTTTTTCTATCGGCAAAGCGACAATAACCCTATTTTCAGCCAATAATTTTCGGCAGCCGATATATTGCTTCATCACTAAGAAATAGTAACCAATCACATTTCATTTTTCAAGTTTTATTAGTTTAGAATAGTTAGAAAATTAAAGTTGACTGCTGATTAGTTATTGATTTGGAAAAAAACAAAAAAAACAAAAAAAACAGTTTTTTTGTTGCACTTTAAAGAACTATACTAGCTCAAACCATTTTAGGAAAACCACAGTAATCCTGTTTCCTTAATAACATAATAAATGAATAAAATTACCTGAAGATACAGATGTGGCTGGACCTGTTGCGGCTGGCAGTGGTGTAGGTGAACTGCTGGGTGGGTCTGCTGTTGGGTAAACCTGGACTGAGGGATCATTACAGAGGGGCTATAGACTGGGGCAGGATGAGAGGCAATCACTGTGTTGCAAGTGACTGGCTGCATCTGTAATGAGTGAGGCCGCATTTGTGGATCCTGGACAAACCTGTCAAGACACAAAACCAAAAAAAAAAAAAAAAATGAATGTGTTATAATGCATTATATAATATGCTTGCTGTGTTACAGCAGCCATTCTCAGCTAGGGTTTCATGGAACCCAAGGTTTCCTCCAGAGGTTTCTAGAGGTTCCTTGAGCAGTGGTTGATTCAGATCTCATCTGATAGTGCCGGCACAGTTCCTGGGCCAATGTCATTTGTTGGAGCCAATGGCATGACCCCAGTAATCTTTTTAGCGGTCTATAGTGGTGGCATTATTCCTATTGAACACCAAGGTGAGGGGGCATTCTTTCAATTGACCTCAAATGTACAGGGAAAATAAAGCCCAGAGAGAGAGCTCCAGCACATCCAAGGACGCGGTGATAGGCAAGAAGAGACCAGACTCATTGTTACAATGTTCAGAACATCGTGTCTTGTCGCAAAGAGAGGGTGGAGTTCCAACCTTCCCACTTGCTTAGTCAAATCGCTCTGTTACTGAGGCAACATTTGGGGTGTAATACTCCTTTGTCAAGCCTAATTTTCTGCATGCTTTATTATCCATTATAACGATGAGAGAGCAAGGTCACCATTTGTCCCTGTCATGAGGGGTCTGTCTCTGGAATACAGGCATCTCTGGAATTGTCGCTGAAATCTGGGCACCTGAGTGCATTGCAGTGCAAAGGCTCCAGACTCAAGCTGCACTGCGCAAGCATCAATATAAAGACAAATAGCTAGAGCTACCAGTGTGTGCATGGTGATCCATATTATTGAGCTCCTCCAGGCAGTTCCAACCATTCCATTCAGGATTACATAGTGTGATCGCATTACATTGTTTACTCTATGCTGCTCAGCTCCAAGGAACAATGCTGGACTGCTGAATGGCAAACAGAATGCAGATGCTGGACATGGGAGATACCAGGCCAAATCTGTGAGTTTCCTGCTCCTGACCTGACCCCTGCACTTTGTGTGTTGCTTACTTTTGATTCCTGAACCCTGGGTTACCCAAGACTGAACCCTGAACGCCAAGCATTACCCTCTCTTGACCTACAGTAGCAGGTGTTATTTAACCATACATTTTAAGTCCTGCCCACCAATAATTCAATGTGGCCACACCCACAATTCACCAAAGTGCATGTTGCGCACTGCATGTTTTTCATGGTGCCCAGGGTATTTTTCCTTTTTACCTTAACGTTGGCCTCTTGTTCCAAATGCCTGTCACCAATTGTTTCATGGTGTGATTTTGTGAGTGTGGCTACAAAAAGGTGGTGTATTTTTTTTAGGCTGGTAAAAGGGCATCCCGGAATTTCATTTTGAAAATCTGGTAACTTTATGATAAAGCACCAATAACTCCAGTGGACAAACATCTGCCAAGTAAGCCTGTCATAGACTTGTGCATTTCAGAATAAGCATGGAAAAGGGGAGTTGTTGAATGTTACTGTATAGGATACAATGCCATTGACAAAGTTTCCAGTACAAACACTATTGCCACATTGTCAGCTTCAGCTCTTAGCAGACATATTGCATGACAGACAGGAGAACCCCATTCTTAACAGCAATGACTTATAGCCAGGACCTGCTGATCAGCTGTGTCCAATCACAGCACAGAGCCCTGTGTTTACAAACACAGGGCTCTGTACACAGCACAGCAATGTGACTGTTCCTTCGCCCTGCAAGGCAGGGAGAAAAAAAAACACATCTATTAGTAAAAAGCAGCACATATCACACACATTACGCATTGTTAGGCACACAGTTAACCCTTTGATTGCCTTTAGATGTTACCCCTTCCCAGCGAGTGTCATTAGTACAGTGACAGTGTGCAGTATCAGCACTGATCACTGTATTCGTGTCACTATGGATGTCAGTGTGAGTTAATATACCTTGCAGTCAGCTTCACTGCCACACAATCACAGTCCCAATATAAGTTGCTGATCACTGCCATTACCAGTACAGCGTCATAGCTGCATAAATTCCAGTATATATACCATAACAGGCAGCACAGTGGCTAAATGGTTAGCACTTCGGCCTGGCAGTACTAGGGTCGTTGGTTCAAATCCCAACCATGACACCACCTGCCTGGAGTTTGCATGTTTTCCCTGTGCCTGCGTGGGTTTCCTTCGGGTACTCCGGTTTCCTTCCACACTCTACAGACATGCTGGTAGTTGAATTGGCTCCTGTATAAATTGGCCCTAGTATGTGCATTTATGAATGTGAGTTAGGGACCTTAGATTGTACGCCCTTTGAGGGTTGGTGACTGATGTGAATGTACAATATAGATTTAAACCTCTGCGTAAACTGACAGCGCTATACAAGTACCTGTAATAAATAATTTGTAACATTATAACTTACGCACAAACCAATTCATATATACTTATTTGGATTTTTTGCTTTACCAAAGACATGTAGAAGAGTACATTGTGGCCTACATTTCTGAAGATTTTTTTTTTTTTTATTGGATCTGTTTTACAATAGAAAGTAGTTTCAAAAGTTTCATTCTCTTCATTTATATAATCAAAAATAAAAAAACCAGTGGTGATCAAATACCACCAAAATAAATCACTATTTGTGTGTTTATTTAAAAAATGATTTAAATTTCATCTGGGTAGAGTGTTGCATGACTGCACAATTGCCAGTTAAAGTAGTGCAGTTCTGAATAGCAAAAAAAGGCCCTGGTCATGAATGGGGTAAAACCTTCCATTTATCTCTTGAACAATTCTAAATCTTACAAATACAGCCTAGCTATGTTATACTGATCATACCTCAGATGCTGGCCATATTCAGGTGGCTGTGGTCTGTCCCCAGTTTCAGCAGAAATCCTCGAAGAGGCAGCAGAAGGGTGAGCTTGTGAAAACATCATTGTGTTGTTATACAGTGGCATCACAATGTTACCATGAGTCTGTAAAGACATAGCTGTCTGCTGTGTCTGATTTCCTCTCATTATCTGATGCCTTTGTAGCTGTTGCTGGTGTTGATGTTGATGTTTCTGTAGCTGCTGCTGTTTCTGTAGCTGCTGTTTCTGTAGCTGTTGGTGATGCTGCTGCTGTTGCAGCTGGTGCAGTTGTTGCTGGTGCTGTAGCTGCTGTTGTGCTTGTTGCACTTGCTGGTGTTGCTGTACTTGTTGCACTTGCGGATGCTGGTGTTGTTGTGCTGGTTGTTGTACTTGTTGGTGCTGGAGTTGCTGAGGTTGTGAGTGTTGCTGGTGTGTTGTATTCTTTATCCATGCAAAAAAGAAACATTAAAATGTCAATACATTTTAATTATGTAAATAAAATTATTGCAAATAATCCAATTATTCCCTACAATTAAAATGATTCTAAAGCCTTGCATTAAAATGGTATAAAAGGTTCGGCTGGCTTGCTTTTTTTTTTTTTTTTTTTTAAATAACAAACATGTCATACTTACCTGCTCTGTGCAATGGTTTTGCACAGAGCAGCCCTGATCCCCCTCTTCTCGGGTCCCCTGCCAACGGTCCTGGCTCCTCCCCCTTGACCAGTGCACCCAATAGCAAACTATTTGCTATGGGGGCACTGGTGCATGCTCGCTCTCATAAGACACATAGAACTGCGACTCGGCCCCAACTCTCTCCTTATTAGCTCAATGACTGATTGAAAGAGGTGGGAGCCAATGGCTCCTGCTGCTGTCTCAGCGAATGAGGAAAAGGAGTCCAGGGACAGCCAAGGCTCTTCTGTGCATCGCTGGATTGGGAGGGTGCTCAGTTGAGTATTAGGGGGGCTGTGGTGGGAGTAGCTCATAGAAGTTTAATTACATGCATGGAATGCACGAAGATAAAAAAAAACCTTCTGCCTTTATAACCACTTTAAGGTTAAAAAAA